GGCTTTGGATGTAGGAGCTTTGACTTTGTTGTCTTCTTCTGGTTGTATATTTTGATCTTCTTTGTCACCAAAGTAAGATTCTACGGTCTGACTCTTTTTGTGCTGTTTGCTCATGATCCCAGCCAATTACTCGAGTTACAAACTTTTTGTTAAGGTAGGAGTCTGCTTCCAGTGTGGAGAATGTATTGTCCCAAGCTTCAGGGTTTTGTGCAGCTGTTTTCAGAGATACTTCTAGGGACCTGTAAATTTTCAGTTCTTCCAAGATGGTACAATCAAGGGTGAGGTGTTTACTTCTTTCCTGGCCTGGGCTCTGGTCTATGAGTGACCACAAGCACGCTCTTCTGTTTTGGAACTGTGAGGAGGATTTTCTCTTCACAGCCACTACAAGCTCCACCATGCCAGCACTCCTCCTTGCTCCAGGATCACCACCGAGAACTGTGACCCAGGTCGAAGCACAGGCAAAGCAAGAGAATCCTGCACCAACAAAGATATCCCTGCAATCCCCCTCCAATCGGCCACTGGATTCCCCCTGAGTCTGTGGGCCAGAAGCTCCAGAGGCAGCCACTGCCCTGGGGCCACGCTTGGGGACCCCACTGCACATCTCTCTTACCACTGCAGACACAGACTTTTCCTACTGACCTTCTAAGTGTCTTTGGCATTCATGAGTTGAGAAGTCTGGAAACCGCCACAGCTGCTCGTGATTCAGTCCTCTGAGGACTGCTCCAGGTTCGCTGAGGCCCGCGCGCTCACAACAAACTGCGCTCCTCCACCTGCTCAGTGCGATAGACCTTTCCAATCAACCATCCAGGTTGTCTTGGGCTGGAAATTTGTTTCACTGTCTTTTTGTGGGTTCTGCTGCTTTAGCATTTGTTTAGAGCCATTTTTTACAGGTATTTGGAGGGGTTTGGGGAAGAGCTCAAGCAAGTCACTGCTTTTACTCCCACCATCTTGGCTCTGCCCCGACCCTCACCCTCCCATGGTTGCAGTTTTAAATTTCAGCAGCTATCATCCAACTTTACCTTCTCACCTCTAAGTTTACAGTGCCTCCTTTACCTTTCTCCTTTCAGAAGATTTCTAGCTCTACTGGATTGCTAGATGTTTCCCAAATTCAATACTTCCATCTCTTATTTCTATGTATTTTCATGTCATCTCTCATATCTGGAATAAATTTCTTGTTCATTTCTGACTCTCAGAATTCTTTTCTTCCTTCAAGGATGAGTTCAGGTATCACTTTCTATAGGAAGGTCATTTTTGGTTTTGTGCATTCAGAAACCTTTTACTGTTGCCAAATTTTTCATGACCCTAACATTCAGTTATGGGACCCATATGGGTCACAACCCACAGTTTAAGAAGCACTGCATAGACAACTGGGAGCCACTGAAGATTTGAATGGAGGAAATGACATGATCAGACCAGTACCTTAGGAAGATAATTTTTGCCAGATTTGTGAAGGATGAACTCAAGAGAGAGGAGCATGGAATGAGGGAGTCTAATTGGGAAGCTATTGCAAATGTCCAAGTTAGAGATATTAAGAGATCAAACTAGGATATATGATGAATAAAGAGAAGTAGATGAATGTAAGGGATGTGATGGTATTATAACTGACAACATTTGACAACTTATTGCATGTGGGAAGAGAGCAGAGAAAGAGAAGAGTCAAAGGTGACTTCAAGATTTGAACCCCTGTGTTCTGGGAAGATGATAATGTCTTCTTCAGAAAGAGAAGTGAGATAAGTTTAAAGGGAAAAATGATGAGTTCCATTTTGGACATCAGTCAATCCACAAGCATTTATTAAGCATTTACTCTGTACCGGTGACTATACTAAGCACTAGGTATGCAATTAAAAAGCAAAATTAATCCCTTCCTCCAAGAAATGTACATTTTAATTGAGGAGGGTGAATGACAAATTAAGTTGGAGAGGCCAATTGTATATCTCATCCACTTAAAGGTAGTCAGCAGGCAATTGGCAATAACTTGAAATTAGATTGTAAGTTCCTTGAGGGTAGTGACTGTCTTTTGCCTCCTTTTGTATCTTCAGTGCTTAGCACGGTGCCTGGCACATAGGAGGTACTTAGTAACTGTTTATTGATTTGCTGATTGAATAAGGTAATGGAGTTCAGGAGAGAGAGAAGAGCTGACTCTGTAGATTTGAGAGTCATCTAGTTAGAGATGATGACTGAATCAGTGAGAACAGATGATCTCACTAAGTGAGAGAATGGAGAGAAGAGGGACCAGGAAAGCACCCAGAGAGATAATAGCTAGATGATGTGGCTAGATGATGAACCAACAAAGGAGATGGAAAAGGAATTACCAGACAGGTGAGAGGAGAGCCAGGAGAGAGTGTCATCATGGAAACCAAGGGAAGAAAATAATTAGGAAGAGGAAGTGGTCATCAGTGTCAGAACCTAGAGAGATGATGTAAATGACTGAGAAAAGGCCTCTTAGATTTAACAGCTGAGAAATCATCGCTGACAATGAAAAGAGCAGTTTCAGATTTTGAGGGATTGTGAAGTTTGTTTATTGTAAGAGATTGAGAAATGATTGGGTGGGAAGGAAATGGAAGCAGTGAAACTCCTCTTTCCAGGAGTTTGGCAGTGAAAGGATAATGATATGTAGGAAGATAACTTGAGGCGATGGCACTTAACATTATAACTGTTAAATTTGGCATCTTCCACCATTCTTTGTTAAGTTATTTTATTGGAAGGGATACAAGCTTTCTTATTTAACTATTTCTATTAGTAAAACAAATTTAATGCAACAGCACTAAACATCATTATACTTTTTTGCTATTCATTTTGTCATTATCTCTGAAACTCAACCCTCCTTTGTCAAAGATTTTCTGTTTCAATTTGAATTTATTAAGAAAAACTCAACCTGGTCCTGGGGCATCGAGGGGGCTAAGTGGATAGAGAGCAGGGCCTGGAGTGAGGAAGAGTTGTCTTAGAGAGTTCAAAGCCAGTCTCAGACACTAGTTTTTCCACTATGGGCAAGTTATTTAACCCTATTTGCTTCAGTTTCTCATCCGTAAAATGAGCTGAAGAGGGAAATGGCAAACCACTCCAGTATCTTTCCCAAGAAAACCTCAATTTGGGTCATAAAGAGTCCAAAAAGATTCAACAACAACCAGGTTCTAGTGATTCTGATTTACTCTTTTAATATATTTATGGAATTTAAAAGAGATCATCTGTATTTACAGAAATTGCGTTTCACAAAGAGGGAAAGATTATGTCTGGAGCTCTTCCTCACTCCTAACCCCTTCCCCGTTTTATCTGATAACTCCCTTCCATCTCCATTTCTACACATTCTTTTTCCTAGTACAAGTAGAAGAATATTTAGCTGTGGCTGCAGGTCGCTTTCTCCAACCAACACGTGGTGGTGGTGTTGGGGGCAGCGGGGTTGAGACTGAAAATGTCTGTCCTTCCTACTTATTTTATCTCCCAGTTGATGGATGACTTCCTACCTTTAATTCCATTCTCACTTTCCACTTATTTTCACTTTGAATTACTCCTGTGTTCAGTGCCAGACTGAATCAAATGTCTGTTTATTTTTTTGACGTTTTAAAAGTGGGCAGGGTGCTTTTCTTGGCTGGTGCTCATATAGCTGAATACTTAAAGTTTGTGTTTAAGGTCAGGGAGACCTGCTGTGAAGGACTGAACTTTGGGTTTTTGTATCTGTGTATTTTGCTTGACTCTAATTCAGATTTAAGACAGGCACGAGCTCTAGGATTTTGTTATGCCTGTGTTAGGTAAGTGCATGGAAGGAAAGCCTTAGGCATCACACCTTCAACTGACAGGAAGAGGGGAAGAGTCCTGTGATAATTATTTTTCAAATCTCTAAAGGTGCTTTCTCTTTTTCCCTTTTAATCTGCCTGGTCCCTGCTACAAACAAAATATCCCTGGCTCCTTCCTGAAGTAACTTTGCATTATCTTGAATACATACTGTATCTACTTATTCGTTCACACATTGTGATCCCCTTCTCCAGGGATTATTTTGTTTTAATATCAGCAGCCCTTGCACATTTCATTGCACATAATATGTGATCAATGTCTGTTAAATTGAATTGAACTGAAGCAACGGCAGCTGTCTTTGAGTTTGGGGTTTCTAGAGAAAGGAGGGATTGTGATCACATGGGCAGATGTAGCTGGTTTAATGGGCTCTTCCGTCTCCTTTTCCTCTCTGGGTTTAAGAATGGAAACTTTTTTTCTGTCAGTGACTGCGCAGAGCTGAAATTAAGATTAACAACTGACCACTCCACCTACCATGAGTAAGGGGCCTTAATTGCCCAAGACTGGAACTTCCATCAGGAGGAATTTTATAGTCTAATAGCTAGTTCTTTAAAAGTTGTGCTCTCTTTTTCCAGTCTAGGAGACAAAGTTTCTGGTCGTAGGGTGTCCCTGTTCACCCACTTGTTGGTGTTCTCACCCTGGAAATTACTAGATATCATTGTTTATTTATATTTCATTTGGTATGTATATAGAAATATGCCTGTTTGTGCATCCATAGACTATGCATATTCTATATCCATATAATGAAGTATGCATATTCTATATGCATGGAAAAATTCTATGTACAGCATATATTTGTCTATATTATTTGTTCCAGTAGAATGTAAGCACCTTGATGGCAGAGCTTATTGTATTTTGTCTTTGAATCCCCAGCACCTTACACATAGTAGGTAAGTGTTTAATAAATGCTTGCTTGGTGTGAGGGTATGGTGGCCGGGGCGGGGGGGGGGGGAAGTGGGTGCTGCCTGTTGTCTTCAGCACCCTACCCTCCAAAGCTTGAGCGCAGAGGAAACTACTACAGGTAAAGTGAGGTAGGAGTAGGGAGTGGAGTAAGGACCGAGAGGACCCAGCTTAGAGATGAGGGAGGAAAGGCAAGCCTGCGGAGAGAGGGAGAGCAAGAGGCCCGAAGAAGGGAAAGGGAAGTGGGCGGGGCAGGCCCGGGGCCCGCGAAGGGGGCGGGCCCGGGGTGAGCCTGTCCCTCTGGATTCAGGCAGGGGCCGCAGTCGGGGCTGGAGCCAGAGTCGGAGCCGGCCGCTGGGCGTGTACTGGCTCGCGTGCTGGGCTATGGCCGGGGTGAGCGGCTCGGGGCCGGCCGAGACTGCCGGCGGGAGCAGCAGCAACAGCGCGGTGCGAGGATTGCGAGTGGACGGGCTGCCTCCACTGCCCAAAAGCCTGAGCGGACTGCTGAACTCCTCGTCCGGCGGGGGCGCGTCCGGGGGCTGGCGGCACCTGGAGCGACTGTACGCTCAGAAATCCCGCATCCAGGACGAGCTGAGCCGCGGAGGGGCTGGGGGCTGCTGCGGCGGCGGAGGGCGGACGGCCACGCTGCTTCCCAAGCCCCCCAACCTGGACGCCGCCCTGGCTCTGCTCCGCAAGGAGATGGTAAGAGGGGGGCTCCAGGGGATCGGAGGGGAAGCAGGCTGCAGGCTCCCCCTTCCTTCTCTCTCCCCTTGGCTCGTCTCTTCCAGCCTCGGAAAAGTTTGCCATGCTTACTTACACCCCGTTTGTTTGAAACAGACCACGTTGAGCAGGAGGGAACTTTCCTGGGAGCTCCTCTGGCGCTTCTTCCCGTTGCTTCTGTTGTCTTCACCTCTGCAGGCTCACCCTTTCTTTCTCTTACTCTGACCTCCCGACCCTCCACTGCCCCAGGCAGCCGCTGGAGAAAGGGGAAAAACTCCCCTCCCCCCTCTTTAATTGCCTCCTCCAGTACCCAGTATTGGTTCCAGTGAATGTTCCAGCTTCTGAAGGACTGTTTTTGGAGTTGTGGCCAGGGGCTCTGGGGACAGTTGTGGGTGACTGGAAACCCGTTTGGGAAATGGTTTCACCCCTGGCCGATGACCATCAGCCAAGAGGGCTGTGTAGGGGGGTTGTTCAGTGTTTGGGGAATCTGCCTCTTTTTGTCCCTTATCCCAGAGAGAAATATATGCCTCCAATTGGGGAGAAACTTCCAGTTCTTCTGGGTGGATGGTTGTGTTTACCCTACTCTGTGGAGAAAGGCTTTTTGTCCAGCAGTGAGTGGAGACAACAGATTGGAGCATACCTCCCCCTTTTCTCTGGGGGCCCCTCTGAGAATCCGATTGCAGTTCTGATGCTCCTGCCCCACAGATGGCTGTGAAAGCAGAAAATTAACCTTGCAGTCTGGTAGTGGCTTTAATCTCATTCAGCTCTTATAAAACTAACACCCTTTCCCTCCCTTAAAAAAAAAGTACCATCCTCCCAGCTTCCTTCCATATGGGTTTCTTGTTCAGTGTTAAAGTAACAAAAGAAGGGTGTGGATGTGGATATAAGCATTTAGGTTTCCCAAGTTCTTTTGGAAACATATGTCTTTGGTAGACTGAGGTGTTCCATTTGTGTTGTGGATAACATGGATGTGCTTCGGCAAGGGGAAGCAACAATGAATCTTTTCTGCATTTTCTCTTACATGGGTGGACCGTGTTAGAGGGAAAGCAGGGGAGATTCTGGTGGTTTGGCTGCAGTCAGCTGTAGGTGGCCTACCCAACCTTCTGGAGATGTTTATTTCACTCCATCTTATGCCTCTTGATCTGTCTTCTATTTTAAATTTGTTTTCCAGAACACCTGTACCCTACTTTAAGCAAACACAAGAAAATTGAATTTTCCTTTAAAAGTAAATTGGGGGAGAGAAGGGGATTCTTTGCTTTTAAACAGACTTTCCTATGGAAACCCTTTGAATACTAAGCTCTCTTAGTATATTTAAGATTACAGGTAGTTAGGTGGCATAGTGGATAGAGTGCTGCAACTGGAGTCAGGAAGGACCCCAGTTAAAATCCAGACCTCAGGCTCTTGTTAGCTGCATGACCCTGGCTGGGCAGGTCTCTTCTGTCTGCCTCAGTTACCTCATCTATAAAATGGGAATAATAAGAATAATAATGATGATGATGATGATAGCATCTACTTCCCAGGGTTGTTGTGAAGTTAAAATGAGATAGTATTTGCAAAGCATGCTATATGAAAACTAGCTATTGTTGTTGATATTGACAATAATTCTGTTTCTGTACCCATCTGGTCATAGGATGATAAATTGTAGAACCGGAAGGGACTTTGAAGGTCATATAATTGAACTACTCTTTTTACAGGTGGCCTAGGAAACTTTAAGTCACACAGATAATGAGCCTCTGAGCCAGGATTTGTCACCAGGCCCTCTGATTCCAGACCCACCTCTAAGCAGAAAAGAAACATCCAAAGTATTTTGTAGCTCTCTGTGATTTTGTCCCCAACCTTGTGGCTTGTCATGTAGAGGACTTTCCATCCTTAATGAAATCTTATCCTTCTCACATATTTTATCAAACTACTTAATTCCATGCCAATCTTTATATTAATTTTTCAAAGCTGAGTGCCAACAACAAACAAGGTGATGAGTTAGACCATAACTTTGTTGTTGTTTAATCGTGTCCTACTCTGGGTCCCCATTTGGGGTTTTCTTGGCAAAGATACCAGAGTGGTTTGCCATTTCCTTCTTCAGCTCCTTTTACAGATGAGGAAACTGAGGCAAACAAGGTTAAGTGACTTGCGCAGGGTCTAAGGCTAGATTTGAATTCAAGATGAGTCTTTGTGACTCCGGGCCAGACATTCTATCCACTTCACCTAGATGACTATAACCAGCAGGCTGACATTTTGAGCTGGGGCAGGCAGCAGAAACATGGGGTGAAGAAAATAAAAATAGCTGGGTGGTATGTTTAAGTTATATGTTTGAATAAGAAACTAGGATATCCAACAGACATTTTTTAAAAATTGTGAACTTATAGTTTGTAAGCATGTCCATAGAATCTTGCCATATTGATGTGAGATCCTGTTCCTTAGGATAGATATTTTCAGGCCTCTGATGTAGTTGAGTTTCTCTCCTAGTGCAGTATGAAGAATGGACTATAGTATTATCTTTATAATTATGCCTTCTACCTAAGCCTTCTCCAAACCTGGTTATTTGCAGTACAGAAAAACAAACATCTATTTTTGATTCATCTGATACCCAGATGTGATCAAGATGAGTATAACTATAGGCCCTGACAAGCATCTTTCAAGAAATGCCATGGGGCCTTAAAAAGTATTGTGTTCCATTCAACTGGCTTTTTAAGAATATTTTTTTGTTTTTATTTTTAGGCAGTTGGGGTTAAGTGATTTGCCCAGGGTCACACAGCTAGTGTCAATTGTTTGGTCTGAGGCCAGATTTGAACTCAGGTCCTGTGCTCTATCCACTGTACCACCTAGCTGCCCCCAAGAATGTATTTTTTTAAAGTCCTATAATTTATTGACCTGGATGGAGGGAGGCATCCCTGACCTTAAAGGAGTTTATAATAGAGTAAAGGAGATAAGAAATGAATGTAAATAACTATAATATGAGGGTATATACTCTGGAAGATTTATGCTAAAATTTCATGAATAGAACTCACAGGATAAAAAGGCATTCTGTTGGGTTAGGATCTATAAGGGAGTGAGTGGCTACAGTAATGAGATCATAGGCCTGCAAAAATACAAAGCACTATGTAATAAATGCCATAAAGAGGTACAACAATCTTAATGGAATTCCAGGAGTTAAAGCTCACTTCTGGTTGCAGTGTTAAGGAAAGGCTTCATGCATCTAGTTTTAAAGGATGAACATAATTCTAGTAGGTGGCAAATTGTGGTAGTAGAGGGCATCCCAGGTGGAGGGGACAGCTTGAATGCATTGGGACCTCCTGAGGAATGGTGAGTAGTTCAGTCTGATTGTAGCATAGGTGTCTGAAGAGAACGGGGCGGGGAGGGGGGGGAAGTGAATTGGAGCCAGATGTTGGAGAGCTTTGAAGGGCTTAGGAGTTTGGGCTTTATTTGATGGGTAATGGGGAGCCATTGGTGCTTCTGAAGTAGGGGAGTGGTAAGACCAAATCTGTATGAAAGGAAGGTTAGGCTGAAAACACTGTAAAATGTGGACAGTCAATAAACATTTATTAAGCATCTACTGTGTGCCAGGTACTGTACTAAGTGACCAGAGGAGGAAAAGACTGAAGGTTGGGAAATCAGTGGGAGGCTGCTGCAGTACTCCAGGCTAGAGGTAATAATCAGGGCCTGAACTAAGGTGGAGGGGGGCCTTAGAGATAGGAAGGAATTTGTTTTGGGGAAGTGTTGGAGATTTGTATTGTGAGATAACTGATTGGATGTGGGGAAGTTCATGAGGGAAGAAGTCAAGCACGTTCTTCCTAGGTCTGGTAAGTAGGAGAATGGTAGTGCCATAAATAGGAATAGGAAAGTCAGGAGGAGAAATCTTACCATATGGAGAAGACCCTGGGGTTCTCAGAGGCAGTGCTAGTGGCACAGAGCCAATGGTAGGTCCTAGAAAGCTAGAAAGTATGGACCTGGTGAGAGACTGTATACATCTGTTTTTCCTTTGGAAAAAGAAGCCAAGATTGGAGAGATTCATCACCAAGTAGACAGGGCCAGAGGTGGGAGGAATAAGTTCAGTTTGGGACATTGATTTCCTGAGTGTCCACTGTATACAATTCATTGTATTAGTTGCTGTTGCTACAAAGATAAACCAGACATAGGCCCCATCATTAAGGAGCTTTATAAGAGCCATTTTTTAAAAAAAAATTGATTTGGAAAAAATTTTTGGGTTTTTTTTTTTTTTAGGCAGTTGGGGTTAAGTGATTTGCCCAGGGTCACGCAGCTATTGTCAAGTGTTTGGTCTCAGGCAGAATTTGAATTCAGGTCCTCTTGACTTCAGGGCTGGTGATCTATCCACTGCGCCACCTACCCCCTAGATTCTTTTCATTTAGGTCTGTACTTACTATCAAGGTTCCTTTTTACTAGTGCAGATCCCAACCTTTCCATGTCTTAGACTTAGTCAATGGTTTTCATGAGTTGCTTTGGCAAAAAAAAAAATCATTACCTGATGGCCACCTTTTGGTGATGAGCTTTTTTATTCTCAGCTAAGCTGGTCCTCAGACCAAGGATTGGCCATCATTGCCGCCATCATACTTGGGGAGTTTTTGTAGGACTTATCAGGGTCATGCCATTGGTATAGCCTTAAAAACCTGGGGTTACCACCATGCCATGTTGAGGTTTTTCAAAAGGAGTTTAGTGGAAGGAATTTAAGGACTTGTGGAAGTTAAGATGCAAGTTGAACATTCAGGTAGAGAGATGTCCATCCAACAAGCAAATCAGGTCAGGATTGGAAATAAAAATGTGATGCGATATCCAAGAGTACAAAGCATCAGGAAAGAAGAAAAGTAAAGGCAGAACTTCGAGGGAGTGCCTGTATTCAGAGGGTGGGAGAAAAAAGATGCACCCTAACTAGCATCAAGCATTCTTGGTTCCTGGATGGTGATTATTGATGCTTTGCTCTGCACAGAAGAAAGTAGTTTCAATGCAAAGTTTAAGAGGTCTGTTTTGTT